CTATATACATGTGTATGTGACATCATCTTAGGCCATTCTTTTAAAATAGGATGCTCAAGCCCCAGGGAGTATTCCCAAACATAAGCACAATCCATCTTCTTATTTATCTCTGTCACTTGAAAGTAGATCACTTAAAATGTTATTCTGTATTGAAATAAGCAGGGATATATTTTGCCTTTCTGATGTGGATATATTATAGGATGGAATATATTATAAAGCAGAATACAATCGAGTCTGCTTCTTAAAACATGATACTGTAAATAAATTTTGTGCATAAGACAGTGGACATAGATTCACACTCTTTCTGGTCAGAGTATTTGCAGTAGAATGTTTAATAATCCCCATCTTGATTGATCCCTATAATACAACAGGTATAAAATTGTCAGGTAACTTACAGAAGGCCACACTCAAGGAAATCATGTGATTACCTAGCAGATCCCCAGGCTCTCCATCACAACACGGTACCTGTTCTGAACGTGGCTTGTAGGACAGATAATGAGCTTTCACACTTAAAAACATTGCAAGAGTGCTAGAAATGGTGCACCTCTCTGTCCTGACCGTGGGGGACAATTTGTTCTTCCCTAGGCATTGGTTATGTGTTCTAATAAGTCTATTCCCACTCCCAGTAGGAAAAAAAGTGCGGGACTTACCTGTCCAATTTCATTTGCTGTGTCACCTTTGGCACCTACTTGAGCAAGTGATAGGGAGGTGGAGAGACAGATGGGAGAGAAGAGGACATTGCCTGCTGGCTCCTTTACACACAGTTGCTTGAACAGGTCGATTGCAAAAGCTGAATTTGCCAGTTGCAGGGCATCCATTGTGGGCTGGAACAAAACACAAGGGTGAGGTTATTTCCAAAGTGTCTTTACAGTGTTCTCAGCTGCATTCAGCCAACACAATAGACTTCTACTCAACAAAAGAAGAGAGGAAGGAACTTCCAGTAAATGCAATTTTAAAAGCCAGTGGCAAAGAAACTTGGGAGCAAATGTCCCAAGATCCGGATGGTCCAGCATGTGAGGTCTTCTGTGTATACAGCTCTACCCAGAACTCCCAAAGTCAGACCTGCTTGGCCACGATGGCCACTGTCAGGAGCCTCGATGTCAGCCCTCTTCAACAAGTGGTCAGAACCCTTGACAGCACTGATCAAAATCAGTTGGTTTTATTTATCCACTTTGTTTCTATTGATTTAGGTTAAACCATACAAAATTAAAAATTTTGTAGTTCAATTTGATATTTAGTAATTGTTATGGGTTGAATTGTGTCCCCTCAAAAAGATATGTTGAAGTCCTACCTCTGGCACCTGTGAATATGATCTTATTCAGAAATGGTCTTTGCAGATTTAATCAAGTGGCAGTCATTAAGGTGGCCCTAATCCAAGACGATGGTGTCCTTATAAGAACAGGAGAAAAAACATAGACAGACGTGCAGAGCGAAGATGGTGTTTAGACACACAGGGGAGGCCATGTGACAACAGAGGCAGAGATCGGAGAGATGCTTCTACAAGCCAAGGAACACCGAAGACTGCTGGCAACACCAGGAACTAAGAGGAAGTCCAGGAAACAGACTCTTCCCTGGAGCTTGCAGAAAGAACACGGCCCAGCCGACACCACGGTTTCAGATGTCAGCATTCCAAGAACTGTGGGAGAATACATTTCTGTTGTTTTAAGCCACCCAATTTGTGGTGCTTTTACGACAGCCCTAGGAGACTAAGACAGCAGGTAAAGCCTCAGCAGGGTACCCAGCACAGAGAAATATTTAATCAACAGAAGCTGTTACTGTTTTTGTTGTTAGTACATTCCTACTATGTGGGAGACACTACACACAGTGTTAGAAGGATCCACGGAGTCCCTGCTTCTCTGAGTGTGCCATCTCTTTGGACAGATGTGTAGAAAAATAAATGAGTAGAATGTAGAGCTACCCTCGTCATATGAACAAGTATCATGGAGTTAAAGATGAGAGGGGAGAGGGAGCAGCCTCAGCTGAAAGCATAGAGCCCAGTCAAGTGGAGAGAGCAGTGAGTGGGCGCCTGGCTGGTCTGAGAACGCTCTATTCTAATGCAGAGTTCTCTACGTGGTTGCCAGAGTCTCTGGCAGTCCCTGAGACTCCTGCCCGCGTCCCTGGGATCAGAACTATTTTTGCAATAATGCTTAGACATTATTTGCCTTTTCACTCTGAATCTCTCACAGATACACGGTGGAGTTTTTCAGAGATTATATGACGTGTCTTCTATTAAAGCAAATATTGAAGAGAGCTGCAAAAGTGAAAAATAACAGGCTCTTCTCCCTACATTTTTTTTTTACTTTAGAAAAGTTATTTTTCATAAAAATGTTAAGCATGTTAATATGAAATGGTTGCATTATTTTAAATGAACCAGTAAATAAGTACTTCAAAATGTTTCCAGTTTTAATTTCTAATTTGGTATATAATGATGAATATAACTGACATCAAAAAAATTTAAAAAAACAGCTTTTTGGGATCCTCAATTACTTTTGTGTAAAGGGGTCTTGCATTTTAAAAGTTTGAGAACTGCAATTCTAGTGAAAGGTTTGCCTTTCTTTCTAGTCCAGGAGTTAAGATCAGGCCTGAGGGCACCTCAGTAAAGGGGGCAGTCAGGGCACCTTCTAGGAGCAAAGCTGAGCTCCATGGAATCCTCCGGCTCTGCCTGACCCAAGGTAGAAGTTGCTAAGGGACATAGACAGATACTACTATCCCCAGAAGACTAGTGCATGCATGAAGGAGTGACACTGGCCACAGCCAGTTGCCACCTCACTGTGTTGCAAGATAATCAAAGCATTTGGACAAATCTCAGCAAATGTTAGCAATACACACCCAGGAAAATATATCATGAACCATTTTGTATAGTAAATTGCTATCAAAAGTATGGGTACAAAAGTAAAACCTATGGGTACAACTTACATGTCTAATGACTTGTATTCAGAGGATTAAAATCTCTGCAAATATTTTTTCATATTATTATCACTTTGTTACAGAGGTAACTTTTGTTTTCATGAAAACCCTCTACCAATTACAATAAATAAAGAGAATTTTGTTTACAGCACCCATGTGGAGGAAACTACATCTTCTAGTCTCTTTAAAGTTTAAAAGGCATCTTGATTTTAACGAGAGAAAAGTGAGATGGAAGTCAAAGAGTAAAATAAATGCAACAAACAAACAAAAAGTTGTAAGAATTTATAGGTAAGTTCCATTTTTGCAGTTTGCCCTAGAATCTTAAACCTTTCAAGCGGGACAAGATCTTATAATGGATCTACTCTGGCTCGGAGCCCTTTCATCACAAATGAGGAAATTGAGGCAGACAAAGATGCAGTGATTCTCCCCAGCCACCCACACAGGGAGTGAAAGTGGTGAAACCAGAGCGGGCACTCACTTCCAGCCAGGCACTTTCCGGCCACACCTCACGGCCGTGCCTCTTGGGAGCTGTGTCTCTGCTGGCACGTGCTCGCTCAGAAGCCTTTAGAGTTCCAAACTCCTGCATGTCCTGAATCACCCCTTTAGACATATCAAGATATCTTCCCTACTTGAAGAAGCTCGTGGTCTCTTTCTGCCATTTATGCTGCAAACTATTAATATTATAATGCTTTTATTTAATGTATGTCAGGCACCGAGTTAAGCTTTTAGAAATCAAAGGTGAACACAACATAGTTCCTCCCTCCAAGCAGCCATCAGCCGAGCGGCATGATAGGTGTGATCGGTGTGATGAGCATTTTGATGGGGACACAAATTACCAAGGGAGCCCTCAGGGGAGACAGCTCCCTCACAGTATAAATCTCAGTGAGGTCTCAGAGGCAGTGACATCTCAGCAAGTCACACTAAAGGAGAGTCCTAAAGGAGAAGTAGGAGTTGGTTATGCAAAAATGTCTGTTAGAAAATAGAAATAATGTACAATCACAGTAATCCACTTCTAGGAGTTTACCTGAAGAAACAAAATCTCTGATTCAAAAAGGTATATGCACCCCTATGTTTATTACCAAATTATTTACAAAGCCAAGTTATGGAAGCAACCAAAGTGTGCATCAATAAATTAATGAATAAAGAAGATGTGGTGCATATATACAATGGAATATTATTTTACTAAAAGAAAGAAAGAAATCCTCCAATTACAACAACATGGATGGACTTAGAGGGTATTATACTAAGTGAAATAAGCCAAACAAAGACAAATACCATGATTTTACTTACATGTGGAATATAAAAACCAAAGGAACAAAACAGCAACAGACTCATAGATACTGAGAAGTGGCTGTTGGTTACCTTAGGGTGGGTGAGTGAAATAGGTGAAGAGGATAGAGAGGCACAGAATCTCAGTCATAATGTAAATTAGTCATGGGTGAAAATACAGCATAAAGAATATAGTCAGTAGCTCTGTAACATCTTGCTATGTTGACAGATGGTAATTACACTAGTTGGGGTGAGCATTTAATAATGTGTATAACCATCAAATCACTATTCTGTATACTTGAAACCAATATAATATTATACATCAACTATACTTCAATTAAAAATACATATCAAAAAAATGTGTGCCAGAGAGAAATGACACAATGCAGAGCCTGCAAGTGGTACCAGATGAACAAAGACACACAAGCCAAGTGCTCACTTCTCTAGACTTTCAGCTGGTCACTGGCCCTGCTTAAAGACTTTCAAAGCTTTTAATTGCATCTAAATGAGTAGTCCTCAACTTTTCATCTGTAGACCAGTAGAGAGACCCACTGCTGCCTGACAGCAAGCTACAGCCAGACTCACCAGATTCACCAATATTGCTGAGACCCCATGGATAGGTTGACCGTATATCCCTCTTTGCATAGGACAGTCCTGGATTACATCTGTTGTCCTGACATTAGTAACAGTGCCCTTTTCTCTCTCAGACATGACATGTTTTGAACAAGATATGTTCACCTACCTAAAAATCATCTATCACACATGCAAGCACACACACACACAGACACTGCTGTATGTAGTCTTTCTGTTCCTTAAAAACTAATTTTTCACTGGGTCAGATTGTAGTGGATATCATTTGGCTTGGCCTGCGTCAAGTTACAGATGAAGAGAAATGTGAAAAAAATCACTATTTGGTGCAGCTGGTCCTCCGGCAATGCCTTGAGAAACCCTGCCTGTTATAATAACTATAATGGAATGCAAACACAGCCTTTGCTCTCCCCATTCTAACCTCGGGAGGCAAAAGTCAGAGCCAGATTAGGCGATCTTGCAGCTTTTGCTGTGTGAAAAAGTCTCCTGAGGAATAAATGAGTAAACATGTTAAAAGTGCTTTGTTAGCAGAAAAGGGGCGAAGCACCTATTAGTAATAAGGTCAATTGCTTCACTTCCTATGGCAGGAACCTCTGCTTTGCTCAGATATTGAGACGTCCCACTTGTCCCCATTTCTTGAGAAGCCTGATCCCAGCCACTGAGCCATCCCACTGCTGTCGGGCAGCAAACTCCATAGCCTGACAGGTTCCGGTGATCTCTCCTATGATATGCTTCCATGAAGCCAGACTCGCCAAACCAGGGTGACGAATATTGCTGAGACTGCGTACCCTCAAAGTCACACACAGCCCAGATGGACTGAAGTGGCCAGTTTCAAGGCATTTAGGAAGCAAAGCAATAAACCTGTGAGTCATGTGGACAATCCTTTCTCCACCTACCCATCAAGGAACCCATCAAACAACTGTCCCTATGATGGGGACTGAGATTTGGGATCCACCTAATTCTATACAAAACCTCTTGAGTGATGTAGGAGGTTAAAAAAGCTGTTAAGAGTAACCATGGTGTCATAGAAAAGTCCACGAACTGTGAGTCTGAAGGTCTGAATTTTACTTTATTTTGGCACATATACAGTTCATAGGCTTCAACTCTGTGAATCTCTACTCCTCGCCTGCAGAGTAAAAAAAGGCTGAGCTCAGGGTTGTCTCAGACCCCGTAGCTCTGTGAATCTGAGCCCAATCTGATCATGAGCCTACAGCACAGCCTGGCAGATTCAGGCCATCTCTCCTATGATATGCTTAAATGAAATCATAAAGATTATACCGCTTGTGAGGAAGAAAACTATGAGCCAACCTATCTGAAAAGTTGCCCAAGAATACACACTTGAAACCTGGAACTTCTTTCAAGTATCCTGAGACCCAGAAATTGGGAGGGAGAATATGTTCAACCTAGAAAAATATGCTGCAAGTTAATGAGCACTGACTGATGTTTTCAAATGACAAACAGTACAGCAGTTCCAAGGTCTGAATCTCAGCCCCACAAGGCCAACCGCGAAGGTGAGCGAGGCAGTCAAAAGCTTTAATACTTTGTCTCGGTTTTGAGTACCACACCCTTTCTGAAACTAGCACTGCAAAATTTATTCTGAATTCCATGGCAGGGCTGACTATGTCCTCAGAAATACTTCTCCTCCCCAGATCGCTGTTGCACCCCCGCCTCACCAACACCAGAACCTCCCAGCCATGCTATTTCTTCATATTCTTACCTTTTCTGGCTAAGGGACTTTGCTTCCTACATGGCATTCCTGGTTCCGAAAACTCTGAGAGGGTGATAGGCAACAGTACTGATGCGAAGAGCTTATCTTTGAAAAGAACTGCTTATGTGGACTTTGTTCACCATCTTGAGTCAGTTCAAATAATTATTTTTGTTTAAAGAATTCCCCTCGAAAGAAATCACCAGCCCTGCCACGGGCACTCGGCTTACCTGGAGTTACAGCTACTCTGCACGCACAGCAAGGGAAGAGGATGCACGGCGCAGGAGGCCCTCGATGTGGAAGCCAGTCTCTGTGAGGCAGAAGCAAGGGGCTTACCTGAACCCCAGCGCCACGCCCACTGCGGCCACGCCCAGCCTGCACCCCCTCTGCCCCTCCCACTTCTGCACGCTCAGCTCTTACTCATGCCTCTTGGCTGCTTGTCCATGATTGAAAAAACTGATTCAGGCTGAAGTTGCTTTTGTCTGCACAGCTTCCAAAGGCCTCTGACGTGCTCAGGCAGGAAGGGGCTGTCGGTGGATCCTGCCTTGAGCTAAATACATGCATATATATACATACATACGTACATTCGTATATACGTACGGGTAACCCTAGTAGCCCACATGGAAGGGAAGGTGAAACAGTACAGGAAATAGAAGGAAGAAACTGTTTGATGGCCTTCCCGATGGTTAAGATTGCCTGGTTTTGCTCTGAAATCTCTTTGCAGAGCCTGCTTTTGCGCATTCCACTTTCCCAGCCTCCGTGCAGGGAAGGCTTCATCCTTTCTACCAAAACTGTTCTCAGGAAAAGATCTGAAACTGAGCCAATTGCTTCTCTACAGAGCTCACCTAATATTCCCAATTGTTCATTTATCACATTGTTTCATAATAATGTATTTACGGTATGGTCTCCTCTATCTGACTGCGAATCTTAAAGATAAGGACCAAGCCTCATTCATTTTTGTGGACTTCATCGACAGTAAGCAGTCAATAAATGCTTGTTGTCTGTATGAATAAGAGCAACTCATTTTGGTAAACTAAGATTGACTGAACCTTGCCCTTAAATCAGAGAGCTGTGTCCATTCGCCCTTTTGATATCTGAATTCCCTCCTTCACACTCCTGTTCAGTGTTCGTCTAACCTTGTCAGAAACACTTGTAATGACATGAATTCAGCAACACCCAAGGAAGGCTGAACATAATTCTGACAGTTGGAAATAAATGTTTCTTTAAAAATAGTCAGTGGGAGATGATATACTTATTTGTAGGAAGAAGTATTTGCCCTATAATTTCAAAAATAATCTATAATTTTCTCCTCTCTCTTTTATTGGTCACAAAAACCATATTATTGACCATATATTAAAAAGAATAGGGTTTTTTGCAGGAAGGGAAGAAATGCAGTTTAAAGAATGAGTTATCCATTCATTCATTCATCATACAATTTTATCATACAATAATTTCCTCTAGTTCAACAAAAGTAATTACCAGCCCAAATATTTAATAACCTAGGAGACTGTTTTGTTGCTTTTCCTTAGCTATAGGTTGAAACATTGCAAACATTATAACTTGATTACTCAGGATTCTGGCTCAGGGATGGCTTGACACACCCAGCCACTCCCAGGAACAGCTCAAAGGAGCTTTGTTACAGCACGCTTAGAATCATTTTCTCTCTCTTCTTCTCCGAGAAGTTAAATTCCAGCCACAAATTCTTAAGCACTCTCCCCAGATTCCTACAAATCATCAAGTTTTACTTTTCCCCCACTGATAGGCATGATTCCCCTCGATGCATATGACAGCTCTCCATCTAACAGGACTAACATGAATTTTGCACATTTCCAACAATTCACAGAAATCACCAGACAAAAGCTCCCACCAAGTCAGTCAGGACTGTTCCATCCTTCCCACATGTGGAGAAACTGAATGAGGAAAGATAAGGCAACTTTATCTTAGAGTTTCTAACTGAGAGAAAAAAAAAGTTTTCAAAACCCCAGAATTATCCGCCTGGACCCTCTGTCCATTTCAAGAATCCAACAGCTTCACATGCTTTCATGCTTTTTATCCTGTCAACATCTGGTCTTTGAGAAACCTAAAATTCTGTCTATGAGAAATTTTATATTAAATAATGGCCTGTTATGGAAAATTACTTGCATGAAATTTTTTTGAAGAAGAAGCCACAACAAATATATAAGGCAACTTGAAAAACAAACAAAACCCAAATAAGACAGTAAAAAAAAATAAAGAGAAAATAAGACCCCAGAGTTACACCACAACCAGTCAGCATAAGGGAGGTGATTTGCCTTTAGAATCCTTACACTGCATGTAAAGGCATATCCCAGCTGAAAATTCAGTATCTAATCGCTTAGATTTGGTTAATGGATGCAGAGAAAAGGGAGGTGACAGCACGGGAAAAAGAATTTACTTCGGAGTTGATTCTGAGCCATACTCCCCTGCTGGCTGGGTATTAATAATTAGCAGGAAACTTCTCTGGGCCTCAGAATCCTGCTAAGTGAAAAGGGCGAGGGATGGGGCAGTTGCACTTACGTTCCTTTTAGAGCTAAATGTCGAAGAGAAACAAATCTGCCTTTGTCCAACCCAAACAGGACTCAATTACTCTTGAAAATGAATAGTATGAAATGCTTTGGATGTGACACAAAAACAAAATAAAAATTACACACAGTAGTTCACTAATGACTGGATTTTAATCCAGGAGGTAGTAGATCTGTGCAACCCGGTGACTTCTCATTCGGTTGTTCAAATATTTGTGTATTTTCATAATTTTCTTTTCATATGTAATTCTTACAGGACAAAGGAACAAATATTAAGAATCAAAATACAACCTTTCCAAAACATCCGCTAGAAATAAGAATTTCAACACAGCTGGTAGGAATAAAAATTAATCAACT